CACTCAAACCACTACACCATGCTGGGTCCTATTCCCATGTACTACCTAAGAAACAATTGCAGATTTTTTTGTTGTTCTTATGTGTCTTCAAGTCCTTTTTGACTTATGGCAACCCTAAGGCAATCTTATCATGGGATTTTCTTGGCGTGTTTCTTCAAATGGGGGTTGCCATTACCGTCCTCTGAGACTGAGAGTGTGTGATATGCCCAGGGTCACTTACTTGGCCACAAATTGTACATACCCCAGAATGCATCATCTAGTATATTGGCAGTCCTTTTCCCCCACACTTTCTCATTTTCCCCCATTGGAATACCCTGTCTTATACAGCGAGTATATCCCAAACTCTGTATTTTAACTGGAAAAGTTGGGGGTTGTCTTATACACCTAGTCATCTTATACGCTGGAAAATATGGGTAATTGTTGTTTTTTAATTGTTCTCTTTTTCTTAGTGACTCTTTCTGAGAGCCTCAAGGCAACATACAAATGAAACAAATAAAACAAAAATAAAAATAGCTATGTGTGTGTATATGTGCCTTCAAGTTACCTGTCAACTTATGGCAACCCCATGGATTTCAAGGGTTTTCTTAGTAAAGAAGTATTCAGAGGTGGTTTTGTTAGTTCCTTCATCTGAAATATAGCCTATACCACCTGGTATTATCCCTTATTATTCAACCAGCTATCCCCAGCTGGTGACAGTGAAAGGACTGTGGTCTTTGGAAAAGCAAGAAAAGAAGATAGGGGAAAAGGGAAGAAGTAAACCTATTGAATTCTACCAATTTGTGATTTTTATTACATCTGAAATGTCTATTCTTAAATCAAATGGGTATATACAGGGGAAAAACAGTGAAAACTGTTGCACTTTCTAAGGGAAGGCACAAGAAAAGGCTGTGCTTTCAAGGCATTTAAGATCTCCAACTTGTAAAATCTTTCCATTCATATGGCTATAATAATGGAATACTGAAGCCTCCACTTGCTACCATGTTAGTCATATATATATACCCTAAAGTTTCTGAGGCAAACAACTCCACTTAGAAACCTCATGTAGCACTTTTAGTTAAACAACTAGAGCCAGATGTTACTATACTTTCTCGTCCTGGAGTTCTGTATTGAGCCACATGTGTTAGCATACCAAATGTACCCTATATTATACTTGAGGTTTCCATATTTTCATATCTGGATCCAGGCATGTTCTTAATAGGTCATAATGACCTTTGGAACACCAAGAGAACTTCCCATGGAAAGGACAAATAGAACTGAAATCAGATGAAGGACCTAGATAATAGCAAGATAAAAACTGAATAGGTTTTCTGATTGCTTTGTCTCCCCCCAGCTATCCACACCTCTTCTCGCAATAGGAACAAAAGTTGAAGTCAGTAAGCCAATGCTTTCTACCCCCTGCCATAATAATAATAATAATAATAATAATAATAATAATAATAATAATAATAATTTTTATTTATAGCCCGCCCCTCTGCTCAACAATCGAGGCGGGTTACAACATTAAAACAAACAACGAATTAAAACATCCCCTCATCCCCTAATCCTGCCCTCCCAAACCCCTTAAAACAGGATTAAACTAGAAAGATTAAAATACACTTTTCTGTTAAAAACAGTACAATAAAAACAAACTACAGTGGGAACATAATAATAATAAAAGCTGAAATCACATCACCCTAAAGCATGTTCCTAGACAGCTTCCCTATCCATCTGTTCTGGGGCTGTCCTAAATCCAGTTGCTGATTTGTTACTCTGAAGTTAAAACCATCAGCTATTCCAGAATCCCATTGTCAATTCTTGGGAAGACCATCGAGTCTTTGTTACATTTCACCTAGCTCCCACAGGCTAGGATCTCAAATATAAATATAATTCCTAAACCTAGACAGCAGGGGGTTGGACTGAATGGCCCTTGAGGTCTCTTCCACCTCTATGATTCTATGATTCTGTGTTGCCTTGCACACAGCCAACAGCTATCTCTTGGCCCCAGTCTTGCTGTGTCACCCTCAAACCCTGTCTGAGCCATATCCTGCTTTCCATGGTCTCTTCTCCACAACAGATACATTTTACTCCCTCTACACCCTTAAACTCTGCTTTCCAATTTCCATACCTCCCTTTTGCTTAGTTCTGAAAAGTATGTCTGTTTGAATTACTATTGTGTGTTTGATTGCCTGTCGCATATTTCTAAATAAAAGTCTTACTGTTCACCCAACCTTGGAGTCATCCTCAGTTAGTACTGGTATAAACAGGTGGAAACGATTCTCAAGTTACCCAGCCTCTCATAAGCTGCTTTGAGCTAAGATCAACATTTTAGAAATGTTTTAAAAACAGTCTTAAAAACAGAGCTTTTTTAAAACATGTGCCTGTTGATTTCTAGGCCCATTTTAACATGCTGATTTGATCTATACAGTTTAACACATTAGACCAGGGGTAGGCAACCTTTTTGAGCGGGGGAACGGTCCCCTGAAGTCGTCCCTTCCGCTGGGCTGTAGGTTGCCAGTCCCTGCGTTAGACCCTACAGTCAGTGCTATTCAAAATGATTGTCTATGAATTGGTGTCAGTCCACAGGTCACTAGCTGGTGTTTCAGAGTGTGTTTCTAGGAAAGAAAGGAAATGTGGTAGGCAATGAGCAGAAATATGGTGCCAGTCCCTGACACAGTGGGGAAAGGATCCTGCTGGTAACTGGCATCAAGTAGGTTAAGAAATACAGAGATCTTGGGTCTCAAGCAGACAGATGGCTTGAAGCAGCCTCTAGCTGCTCCAGCCGCAAGTGCGCTCTGAGCAGTGTGGGGCTGCAATGACAATAATTCTGTTACAATTAAAAAAAAAAAACTTTCAGCCTTTTGCTTTCTGTATGGCCAATTCACTGGGTGGCATAGTAGTTTGAGTGCTGAACTATGACTCTGGACACCAGGGTTCGATTCCCAACTCAGCCATGAAACCTACTGAGTGACCTTGGACAAGTTACATGCTCTCAGCCTTAGGCAAAGGCAATGGCAAACTTCCTCTGAACAAATCTTGCCAAGAAAACCCCATGATACGGTCACCTTAGGGTTGCCATAAGTTGGAAATGCCTTAAAGGCACACAAGAACAACCACTACTTCTTAGAACCCTTGACTGGGCTTGTAGTCTTAAGATGTCTTCCCACTGAAAAATTCACTTTGTTTAAATATTATAGTAGTTAAAATAACATTATACTACCATGTAGATTCCTGATATTACGCCAGTACTTTAAAAGTAAGCTACTGTTTCCATCAAGTATTCATTACTCTTTTAAATCTTTCATATCCCACATCATTGGACATTGGTCCAGATTGACCCAAAAAGGTTATTTATATTGATATAGGGCACAGATTTTCAAATGTCACATTATAATTCAGATTTATATGCCAGTTTTTGTCATCTGAATGTAGGTTTCATAAAACAGTACCAGCTACTGTATGCCTGTGTAAATTATAAATGTGGACAAAAAATTTAGATTAGGAGCAGAAGCTGGAAGCAAATGTCAGCCATGCCATATCCTGAATTAGACCATTAGTCCAGGAGTCCTAGTATTGTCAGCTCTGATTGGCAGTAACTCCAAGCTTTCAATTGGGATTCTTTCCTAGACCTGGATGGAGAGTTCTGGTATATCCTAGTGGTGTCCCATGCTAGTAATCAGGCCCAACTGCTTAGCTTCCAAAATCAGATGTGACCAGTTTTGTTCAGGATAGTGTGGGGTAGAGCATGCATATAATATTTACCTTATTTTCCTGCGTATAAGACTACTTTTTAACCTGCAAAATCTGTGGTTAAAGTGGGGGGGTCGTCTTATACGCCGGATATAATGATAATGAGGATAGAGGTGCTAAAACTCTATATTTTGGCTGGAAAATGGGGGGTCGTCTTATACGTGGGTCGTCTTATACGCCGGAAAATACGGTAATAGTACTGAAAGACAGAGACCATAATACATTGAAGAAAATGCAAGTGCTGTATAGATTACCAGGGCGTTGTACCACCATTTTAGCATTTTTGTTTTCTTTTCAGTAGTATGTTCGGTGGATTTCAACATCAGGAATATCTTATAACGTGCTTTTGGATATGGTTTGCTCAGAGAAGAGTTTATTATTAAAAATAAAGTATTTTTGAAGTTCTATGAAAATGTTGATTTTATTCTTTATATATACCCCACTGTTCTACCATCATGTAAATATTAGCACTGGAAAATGTCAAACATTTTATTTGGGGGAAACTGTTTATAGAGTAGTTGAACTTCCTTAAATTGTTTTTAAAAATAACATTCTTCTAAATATATTATTAATTTTTCTTCTCCCCTGTTCCCTATTTAAGTAACTGTTCCTGCTGGCTTCTTCTGGTCAGAAATTAACTTTGTGTGGTTGCTCTTAATTTAATTTAGCCAGCAGCTAATTAAAAGTGTTTGGTGTTTATTCTTTTTAAAGGTTTGAATATTGATGGCAGTGGTTTAAAAGAACAGAAAAGCGATGGAACCAGTTCAGAGCCTAGTTTTTCATCTCCGGAAAGAAGAAGCCCTTTGTCAAGGTAAAGTCATTAAAATGTTTCATTTCTGAATAGTTTCAACCTAGTGAGAAATGCTTCTAGATAATGGAGCCTTGGCAACAATATTTTGATCCAAGGGCTATGGTTCAAATGTTTGTTTCTCTAAAACAACAATTTAAAATTTTGTACACCTTAGAAAATATTTGCACTAAAGCCAGGTATTGTTTTGCAGCTGTTGTTTTCTCATTTTAAGACTCAATTGACATCTCAGTGAACCACAAATTAGCGTGTACAGCTGCTCTCAGTAGGACTACTTAGAGACCAGACAATGGAAGTTGTCAGGAAAAGGGCAGACGTAAAACATAAAGTCTTGAAGAAATAAAGTGGTGTGTCGTCTTCGGGATGTAGTTGAAATGTAAATGAGCTTCAGCTCAATACCTATTTTTGTGCCCTTTAAAGAAGTATTTGATACTAGATTATTTGTTACTTTCTTCTTTTGTATTTTCAAATTGAGAACATTTAATTAATGTCCTTGCTTTTTCCCAAAGAGGTGCAATTTATCTTTTTTCAGTTCTTTGAGTAATGTTTTGTTACAACTCCCCCCACTAGCAGCATGAATGAAATTACTAGCAATCAAGCACTAATAGCAAATGAACCATAGTAAACAATTGTGTGGATTTTAGATTGGCTTTAGATTGTTACATAACAATTATTAATGCACGTTCATAGCTTGGCTCTGTTTGTGTTTCTCCTTCTTGGAAACTCCTATTTATGATGCCTGATATGTAACGTACGTGTTTATACACAGATGTATAGTGTGATAATAGCTTTTACTGCTAAGGAGTTCTCATGATGATATGTTTTATCTTTCAAGGTTCTTTTATTTTCTAATTGTGAAGAACTGATTTTCTCTACAGGGTTTGGAATAAAACTAATTGGCCAGTATTATGTGTTACCGTGATGCATTTGCATGTTACATAGTATAAAGCATTCTGTATCTGGTCTTTAGGAGGTAGACTTGGAAAATAACACTTTCAAGAGCTTATTTATTAAAATGAATTAATCAAAATTGCATTTTCCAAAGGGCATTGCTATTTGAGGAAATAATTTTAGGAAGCTATTATCTAGCATCCTAAAATTCGAAGGAGTTTTCAGCTGTTAATTCTTGTATAAGACAAGTGGCATATGCGTGAATAACACAAACCTTTTTTTAAAAAAATAAATGTTCTAGAGGGCAGTTGTTTGCATTATAATATGAACCAGCAGTTTCTAGCATTTCTGAAATGCAGTTCATACAATGCACTGAGTAGCATTGAGATTATTTCTAAACGTTTATATGCACGGCAGACAGATATTTGGAAAACATTTACTGCACCATATCATTTCTTGCCCTAGCCTTGGTAGAAAATGCATTTCATGGTACAGTATGAATTCTTACTTATTTTTTTAAAACGAATAGGGTACATTTTATTTCCCTCAATAACATGGGAATAAAATGCCTTTTAAAATCAAATCAGTTAGTAACACTTGCTGCTTTACACTTGACATCTATCTTAGAAAGATGTTTACAAGCACAATGTAAGAATAAAGTGTTTAAGAATGGGAAATGACTCAAGTGCTTTTTTGCAATTGGGACACAGTGAAATTTCTTACAGGCTGATGTCTAAGGATTCCACTTATTGTCACTTCTTGCGCTTTATTGCTTTTACAAGTGGTCTCGAAACCCAGTACTTGAAAATAAACATAACAGTCTAGTACCACTGTGGTACTTTTATTTTTTTTCCCCCTTCGCAATGTTTAGTCACTGAGCTGATGAGTGACCTCGAAAAATACCCTGATGGACCTAAATAAAAAAATGGCTTCCTCTGATGTTCTAGAGACAATAATTATGATGTGCTAGTTAAGCCCAAACTACAGCTGAGGGATTTTACTTTAAAGCAGAGGCTTGGGCACAAAAATGCATTTATAGCTCTTTGTCTGGCACCTCATTATGCATGGGCCTGATTCATTAAGTAATTGGTTTGCAGTTGTTTACATGAGTATTAAGGCTTTCTATTCAGCAGTCTTTGAGAGATACATTGTGCAAATGTTGCATGTTATGAATGCAGAATGAGGGGCAGCGGACGAGTCCTATTGGCTAAACACTGCACTCTGTTGAAAAGCAAGAGAAAGAGATTGGGTGCTGCTTTGCATAGCAATGACTTTCTTAATAAGCTTTACAGATTAATACACACAAGCTATAAAAGATGCAAAGAGATACTCTTAGCACATTTATCCATGCTCATTTCACTATTATGGCACTGGAGATGGGAAGAATTGAGTGCTTTCATATTCTTTTTTTTTCTCCAAGTGCAACTTCAGTGCATGGGACTTAATAGAATCCAATGTTTATTGTATTATAAATCATGGGGGAAGTAGGCAGACCTGCAACAGTTTATTATTAAAGATTCCTTCAATGTAAATCTTTTTTCCACCATTGTGTGTCCTGCAGGAAAATCATTTTGTGGTTGAGTGGGGATGAAAGGCATAATGTACGAAGGAGTGAGTCTTAATAGGAAGCTGCTCTTCGATTGAAGGCCACTTGTTCCCTTTTGTTTGGAGATGCATGCCACAGCTTCCTCTGCTCTAGCAAATATTACCCTGTTGTATCTTAGCTTAAAATTGTTTTCTTGCAAGATTTCTGCAGCTTAATACAAAAATGTTTAAACTGAGGTCTGACTCTCTAGTGTGATGATTATAATATATAGTTAAAGGAAGCAGAATGTTTTTTAAACAAATGAAATTATTTGGAGGAAAGGATATCATTAGCTTTGTCCTAGTTTCTACAAGGGCTGCAGTGCAATGTGTGTGGCATTTTATAGTTCTGTAGCCATACAATTGACCAGTGGAGGTCAGTAGCATTCTATTGTTGAAGGTTTTGGGGAGAGGCAATATCTCTTTCTTAGCTTTTTAGTTTGCAACATTTGAGGGTTAAAGCTAAATTATATGCAAACATTCTGATGTATTTTACTTGGAAAACAGTCTGCACTGTTAACTTCCAGAAGCAAGGCATTACATCTGCAGTTTTGTACCACTTTACAGGCACTAATCTACTTACTTCTGAGTAAACATGTATAAGACTATGCTATAAGTGCCTGCCCCCAACAGATACCAAGTTTTAAAATGGTTTTCACATCTGAATAAATCATTGATCGATTGGTGATAGTTGCTTGACTTCAAATTGTGATATCTATGTGATGACTATGCTTCTGATAATTGCCATCGTTCATTCTTTGCACAGGACCATCATGACCATTGGGGGTCACTGTTTCTTTAATAAATTGTATTGGCTTTAATTTGAAGTCTGTTTTTAAACCAAATTAAGTTACAATTATGTAATGATGCAGGTCATTCAGTATAATCATTGTCATACTTTATTTACTTTTTTCTTGTTTA